ACTCAGCTCCACTTACCCGCCCACTCACCATAACCCTTAATTCCTTTACTGTTCAAAAATTTATCTAGCCTTGCCTTAAAAATATTCAGTGAGGTAGCTTCAACCGCTTCACTGGGCAGGGAATTCCACAGATTCACAACCCTTTGGGTGAAGAAGTTCCTCCTGACCTCAGTCCTACATCTGCTTCCCTTTATTTTGAGGCGATACCCTCTAGTCCTAGTTTCACCTGCTAGCGGAAACAACCTCCCTACCTCCACTTTATCTATTCCCTTCATAATCTTATATGTTTCTATAAGATCTCCCCTCATTCTTCTGAATTCCAATGAGTATAATCCCAGTCTACTCAGTCTCTCTTCATAATCCAACCCTCTCAACTCTGGAATCAACCAAGTGAATCTCCTCTGTACCCCCTCCAATGCTAGTATATCTCTTCTCAAGTAAGGAGACCAAAACTGCACACGGTAGTCCAGGTGTGGCCTCACCAGGACTCTATACAGCTGCAGCATAGCCTCCCTGTTTTTAAACTCCATCCCTCGAGCAATGGGAGACAAAATTCCATTTGCCTTTTTAATCACCTGCTGCACCTGCAATCCCACCTTCAGTGATTCATGCACAAGGACACCCAAGTCCCTCTGCACAGCAGCGTGCTGCAATTTTTTTACCATTTAAAACATAGTCCGTTTTGCTGTTATTCCAACCAAAATGGATGACCTCACACTTATCAACATTGTACTCCATCTGCCAGACCTTTGCCCACTCACTTAGACTATCTATATCCCTCTGCAGACTTTCAGTGTCTTCTGCACACTTTGCTCTACCACTCACCTTAGTGTCATCTGCAAATTTTGACACACCACACTTAGTCCCCAATTCCAAATCATCTATGTAAATTGTAAACAATTGCGGTCCCAACACTGATCCCTGAGGCACACCACTAGCCACTGACCACCAACCAGAAAAACACCCATTTACCCCTACTCCTTGCTTTCTATTGGTCAACCAATCCTCTATCCATACCAATACATTACCTGTAATACCGTGCAACTTTATCTTATGTAGCAGCCTTTGGTGTGGCACCTTGTCAAATGCCTTCTGGAAATCCAGATACACCACATCCACAGGTTCCCCATTGTTCACCATGCAAGTGATGTCCTCAAAGAATTCCACCAAATTAGTTAAACATGACCTACCCTTCATGAACCTATGCTGAGTGTTCCCAATGGGACAATTTATATCCAGATGTCTTGCTATTTCTTCCTTAATGATAGATTCAAGCATTTTCCCCACTACCGAAGTTAAGCTAACTGGCCTATAGTTACCTGTTTTTTGTCTACTTCCTTATTTAAACAGTGGCGTCACATTGGCTGTTTTCCAATCTGCGGGAACCACCCCAGAGTCCAGTGAATTTTGGTAAATAATTACTAGTGCATTTGCTATTTCCCCCATCACCTCTTTTAGTACCCTGGGATGCATTTCATCAGGGCCAGGAGACTTGTCTACCTTTAGCCCCATTAGCTTGCCCAGCACTGCCTCCTTAGTGATAATGATAGTTTGTAGGTCCTCACCTGCTATAACCTTCTTGCGGTTAGTTTTCAGCATGTTATTTGTGTCTTCCACTGTGAAGACCAACACGAAATAACTGTTTAATGTCTCGGCTATTTCCTCATTCCCAGTTATTAAATTGGCCTTCTCATCCTCTAAAGGACCAATGTTTACCTTCGCCACTCTTGTACGATTTACATATTTATAGAAATTTTTGCTGTCTGTTTTTATATTCTGAGCTAGTTTACTCTCATAATCTATCTTACTTTTCTTTATAACTTTTTTTGTGGCTTTCTGTTGGCCTTTAAAGATTTTCCAGTCTACTAGTTTCCCACTACTCTTTGTTTTTTTGTATTTTTTTTTCAATCTGATACTTTCCTTTATTTCCTTAGACATCCATGGCTGGCTCTCTCTTTTCCTACAGTTCTTCCTTATCACTGGAATATATTTCTGCTGAGCACTGTGAAAAATTGTTTTGAAAGTCCTGCACTGTTCCTCATTTGACTCACCATAAAGTTTTTGCTCCCATTCTACCTTAGCAAACTCCTTCCTCATTCCTTCGTAGTCTCCTTTGTTTAAGCACAGGACATAGCTACTGGATTTAACCTTCTCACGCTCCATCTGTATTTTAAATTCGACCATACTGTGATCGCTCCTTCCGAGAGGATCCCTAACTATGAGATCATTAATTATTCCTGTCTCATTACCCAGGACTAGATCTAGGATAGCTTGCTCCCTTGTAGGTTCCATTACATATTGTTCAAGGAAATTATCACGGATGCATTCTATGAACCCCTCCTCAAGGCTGCCATGACCGACCTGGTTTGACCAATCGACATGTAGATTAAAATCACCCACGATAATTGCTGTACCATTTTTACATGCATTAGCTATTTCTATGTTTATTGCCCGCCCCACCACGTTGTCGTTATTTGGTGGCCTATAGACCACACCTATCAGTGACTTCTTCTCCCTGCTATTCCTAATTTCCACCCAATTGGATTCAACATTTTGTTCAGTAGAACCTATATCATCTCTCACTACTGCCCTGATATCATCCTTAAAAATCAGAGCAACACCACCTCCCTTCCCTTCCTGTCTGTCCTTCTGAACAGTTTGATACCCCTGGATATTTAACTCCCAGTCATGACCATCCTGTAACCATGTCTCTGTAATGGCCACTAAATCATACCCATTTGCCATGATTTGCACCGTCAACTCATCCACCTTGTTTCGAATGCTCCGAGCAATCAGATAAAGTGCCCTTATGCCAGTTTTTGCACCTTCTTTTTGGGTCCTATTACCTCCATTACTAACTTAGTTCTCCTTCCCTTTAACTTTTTTTCCTAATTTTCAATGGAGTTGAAGCCTCCTTGTCACCTGCTAACCTGTTGCTTTGCCTTACATCAATTGTTATTCTCCCTCTACGCTCACTTCTCCCTTCACCCCTACTTACTGGTTTAAAGTCTTGTTAACCACCCTATTTACCCTTTTCGCCAGAACCCTGGACCCGGCCCTGTTCAGGTGGAGTCCATCCCAGCGGTATAGATCCCTCCTGTCCCAGAACTGATGCCAGTGCCCCATGAAAAGGAAACCCTCTTTCCCACACCACTCTTTTAGCCATGTGTTTACTTCCCTGATCCTTGCCTCCCTATGCCAATTTGCACGTGGCTCGGGCAGCAATCCAGAGGTTATGACCCTTGAAGACCTGTTTTTTAATTTTGTTCCTAGCTTTTCATAATCCCGAAACAACAGGTCTTTTTTCCTAGTCCTGCCTATGTTGTTGGTACCTACGTGGACCACAACAACTGGATCCTCCCCCTCCCTCTCTAGTATCCTCTCAAGCCGGTCAGAGATGTCTCGCACCCTGGCACCAGGCAGGCAACACACCATGCGGGATTGTCTACCCTGCTTGCAAAGGATACTGTCTATCCCCCTGATGATGGAATCCCCTACAACTACAATCTGTCTTTTTGCTCCCCCCTCTTGAATGGCCTCCTGGACCATGGTGCCATCGTCAGTTGACTCATCCTTCCTGCAGGCCTGTTCCTCATCCACGCAGGGAGCAAGTGCCTCATACCTGTGGGACAATGTCAAGGGCTGCGGCTCCTGTGTTCCTGTCTGCAGGGTCCCTCTACCTGCCTCACTCGCAGTCACACACTGCTGTCCCTGCCCGCTGATCGAATTAACATTAGTTAATCTACCAGGTGTGTCTGCCTCCTGGAACACAGTATCCAGGTATTTCTCCCCCTCCCTGATGTGCCGCAGTGTTTGGAGTTTGGATTCCAGCTCATCAATTTTGAGCCAGAGCTCCTCAAGCAGCTATACTTGCTGCAGATGTGGTCACTGCCGTTCTCAATGGGATCAGCTTGCTCCCACATCATACAGCTACAACACATCACCTGGCCTGCCATCTCTACTTAGTTAATTATTTAAAATGAATTAGTTTTTTTTAGTTTCGCAGTGTTCGCTGCACCAGTAAGTTTACTCTGTTATATACTCAAACAGACTCCAGCTTTGCCTTCCGACCCACTCCCAGAGGATTTGGCATCTAGATGACCACCCCGAAATAGCATTCAACAAATCTTGTTTGCAATAGTTATTTCTCAGATTGTTGTTTACATCTGATTGCATGTTGTGGAACAGAATATTTTTGTTTTAGATGAGATTTCTAATGGTCAGAGCAGAAACGGAGAAGTCCTCAACTGATTCAGAGAGGGCCGACTTTTGGGGTAATGGATGGGATGACACAACACAACCTGTTGTGGAGCTTTGAAGGACCGGTTGTATTTCTGGGAATTCTGCATTAGTCTTGATTTGTGTTGAATCTTGTCCTGAAGTTGTAATCAATTTAAGTAGGGTAATAACAAACACTGGCAATTCATCAAAACCCTCCCCAGAGTTCAGACTATTACAGCTTAAAAACTGAGTAAGTCAACAGTGTTCTAAGCTCTTTAGATTTTCCTAGGCTCCTAACATTTTACTTTTTTTAAGTGCTTATTTTAATTTGTTATAAATGAGAGCTGATCTTCAAATGATTAAAGCTTTGTGCTTCCCATTGTGTGGTGAATCATCCTTAGTTTTGAAAAACGGAATGCTTCACTTTCTGACATGTGCAAGGTGGATTTGGATATGCTATATATAAAAATGGGTACTGTCTGAAGACTATTGAATGCACTCATATTCCAGGGTACTAAACCCCTCTGGGAAGGTGTATTCACAAAAAATATTGTATTACTCCAGCCTTAATGGTTTGCTTTAAATCAAATTGCACTGAGTTCCAAAGCCAAAGTTACAAATGCTCGTAACCCATTGGATAGAAACAGTAGAAACAAGTTGAGAAGGCCTGTTCAACTTTAACAGGAGTTCACTGTATTAAAAACATACACCAAGTGAAGCAAACTGTAGGAAAAGTTTTAAAAATGTAGCAACTGTTTTAATCTGTTTTTCTATTGCAGTTGTTTGATAGGGTGAGGGAAGACTTTCAGAAGAAGATTATTCCTATCGGCAGTGAGTTGATGCAGCCTAACCTGGCCATCAGTTCAAAGGACACTGAACATCTGCTCTCCTGCATTAACGTTGTCTTCCACTGTGCAGCTACCATTCGATTCGACGAGCCTTTAAAGTAGGTCCCTTTGCTAATCTTTGCACCCAGATTAGAAAGGAAAGAAAATGCTATATTAAGTTCTAATTTCCTGTATTGATAACTTTGTTCAGTTATTGCTAATTTTGGTCTGTTTGTAACCATAGGAATAATTAGTTAGAATTTGTTGCCATCCCACAGCTGCTTCTTTTCCTAAAGCTGGCACAGGATAAAAGCAAATTGTTCTTCAGGTCACCTCTTCCGTTATTCAGGGGCCACCATCCCACAGTTAATGATGTGATTTTATTACAGGTTAGGGCTAGAACTCAAGCTCCAAGGCTGTCTTCAGCTGAACTAATGATTAACCCCTTGCTGTTGATGTTATTCTGGATGACATAACAGCTAGCTAACCAGTCCCTCTCGATACAAATACTTAACAGGTTAATGCGGTATCCAGTAGCATCATACAACTAGTGACAGTTTCATTGAAATCAGAAATGTTTGCTCCATGATAAGAAGTTTCATAGAGAGTAATTGAATGATATCATCCAAATCGGTATTTTAAAATATTAAGACTGATTCCATAACATAACAAAGTGTAGCAATTGATGCATCCTTTACTTGTACAATTGTTTGGGGAAAATACTCCTCCAATTATGTTGCAAAATTATCATTGCAGAATATTTCATAAACCCATTGTTACAGAAAATAATGAAAACAAAACTCTCCACAACCTGTTAAATTTGAAGCATACTCCAACTGTTCATGAAGAAACTCACCAATTCCTTCAGGTCCATAAGTAGTTAGATAGTATGATTTTATTCTGTGGTGGTGTGAAGTCAACTTTTTCTCCTTGTTATTTTTATTTAATCTTAAAATCCATGAACTTCCTGCAGAGTGAAGGACAGTTTTGACCTGATCCCAGACTTCTGCTAATGCTATACAAACAAAAGTGCTGGAAAGCCTTATCAGGTCAGGCAGCATCTGTGGAGAGAAACAGAATTAAAGTCTTCAAATTGATGACGTTGCATCAGAACTAGACTTTCCTAATGCTGTTCAGTAGCTAACTGTTAAAAAGACACACAGCTACACTCCATTGAGGACCCTTTCTCTAGCATTTCATCCCATGGGTAGGGGTTGGTGGGGAGTGTGAGTTAAAACTTTAGTTAGTGGCATCTAAGAGCCATGTTTTCAGTGAAGTAGGGAATTATTTTGTAGGGTTACCTATTGGTGCCACCAGGCTTGATCATAATCACAAATGTTTTCAATTTGCACAGTTTTGCCAAATTGAAGATAGGTTGGCAGTTTCAGAGTTGCATTTATCTTTTCAGGCTCATTGGTTTGACAAATCAATTGATCTGTTTATTATGGCATTCTTTTAACCAAAGGATATAATTACATGTTTTCGCCAAAATCACAAGAAAATAGAATGTTGTTTTTAAGGCTGAATGCTTGTGCATTCATTTACCTTATTAGTTTTCCCTCTCCATGATCCTATTTTCCTTTGCTCTTGCTGTGCGCAGACACGCCCTACAGCTGAACGTGGTGGCTACGCAGCAACTGTTAGTGCTGGCCCGGCAGATGCAGAAGCTTGAAGCCTTCATTCACATCTCTACTGCTTACGCAAACTGCAACCGGAACCATGTAGAAGAGGTCATATACCCTCCACCTGTAGAGCCAAAGAAGCTCATCGACTCTTTAGAGTAAGCTTACTTTTATAATTGTTTCATTTCTTAGCTTTATTTTCATGTTTTTGTCAGAAATGTAAATATCAACCAACTTGAAAGATGAAAAACAACAATGGGAAGCTGGTCTATTAAATGTTAGGCTTTTATTGTTGATCTGTAATGCAAAGTAATATCTAAGCAAATAGTCTTTTTAATATTGTTTTACAATCACACAACAAAGTTTTATATAGTGGCTGTTGTGGTATGGTGGTAGTATCCCTACCCCAGCATCAGAACATCTGGTTAAAGTTTCATCAGGTAAGGAGCTGGGTCATATTATGTCCAAACAGTTTTTTTTTTAATAGCAAAGTTACATTTGTTCTGCAAACCACAGCGCTTTATATTTTGTAGGACATGTGGTAAAAAATTCTAATTTCCAATATCATATCACGGTTCAATTGCACAGTGTAATTTGCTTTAAATCATTTGGGTTGACTTCTACATGACAAGCCATCTTAAACATCTTTAAGATGCAGATAAAATGGGGACAATAGGTGAGTAAAGTAAGAGTAAGAAATGGGGAGAGATTAAGTTCATTCAGTACAAGTTATAGACAGTAAGCTGCATCAATAAACAGGGCAAGAGATTTAACTTAAGATAATATTCAAATTCCATGGAAGTGTAATCTGTGTGGTGTGTTAATTATTCTGAATTATTGATATATTAGAACATATACAGTTTTTCTGCCAGTCCTGTATTATGTAGATTTTGGTTGACGAGCTGGGATTTAGAAGATCGGTGCATATTCCAGCTTCAAACACATCTCTGACAGAAAGCAGATCCAGTTTCTGATCTTGGTGGAGGTAAAGGGTTTTATTAATGAGGGGTCTGGAGTGACAGCCAATTAATAGGCAGCATCCAGAGGGTAAGCTTGCTGGAATGGAGATGGGACACTAGGGAAGCAGGCTATATTTCTGGCTTGTGCTGTCTGTACATGGTTTACAAAATATGAATGCAACTGAGTTTCAAATTTACCAGAGCAGATGGAGAACAGGAATTCGGACAGGGTATTGAAATATCAGTGTTATTAAAATTTCATTACCATAGAATAGATTTTCTCCAAAATGTCCACTTTTCTCAGTCAAATAAAACTTGTTTTGTTATGCTGCTTGCCTTGTTTCCAACAGGCTGGAGCTGTTTAACTCTTCAAAGACTTCCTACCCTGGCATAAGATCTTAAAATGTCAAGCCTTAAGGATATGTTTAATGAGTGAATTCAATTATCCCAAGTGTTCCTGTTTCTGAGTAGTCTTGCCCATCAGGTAACTGACTGAGATCAGTTAAGTGCCTACCTTATTGGTGATGTGGCCAGGATCTATCCTAAAGTGGTGGCTCCTCCACTGGGACTGAAGGGTTCTGGACAGTGGGCAGGAAATTGGAGTTGAGGCTAAGGTGAGATCTGCCATGATCGTATCAAGAGGCAGAGCAGGCTCAAGGGGCTGAATTGCCTACTTCTGCTACTAGTTCTTATGTTCTTCTGAAACTTGGCAGGTTGACTTCCAGTGGCAGGCCAGAGACTACTGTGAAGATTGTATATTTTTATTTTTTCTGTATTTTTGATTGTGGGCCAAAATGAGAAAAGGACTGTTCTGAATAAAACAAAGATCATAGAAAGGATTACTTCAGTTTTTAAAATGAAGTTTTAATGATTTAATGATGTAACCTGACATTCATTGTAAGTGTTGTTTACACTGCTGTTTGATCAGGCAGTGATGGAGGTTACTACAGACAAGTTGGAGCCAGTGGGTATATGTACTGTGGAAACTCATTCAGCAGCAAGCAGCTGATTGACAACTGGTCACTACTCCACAAACCAATGACAAAAGTATTCTGCTTGCCAACAGCTATGTGATTGGCTTCCAGGTAGTTGAACAGCTTGTGGGTTTGAATGTTTGGCAGCAGCCATCAGACCTCTGATAATGAAGGAGCATTACTTTTCTCTGCATTAAGAAAAGCCTCAAACCTGAAGAAATTCTATTTGTTTTCCACTATCAGTTTGCTATGGCTCTCAATCAATAAGTTAGAGACTTCATAAATATGAACCAGTTACTCTGTGCCTCCTGAAACTAGGTGTCAGTACCTGGAGAAGGAAAACTGAGGTGCAACAAGTCCTGACAAGCTAAAAGAAACATCTCAATGAAACTTGTGGACAGTGACCATTGAGCTGCCTTCCCTGTCTTTCCTTCTGACCATAGCACCCTTTTTAGATTGTCTTTGTGTGTCTGTACTATTGTAAAGAGGGAGATTTATAAGGGTTTAGAGTTTTAATTGGTAGAGTTATATGTGAATGGGTCATAATTGTTTGTCTGTAGCTAGAATCTATTTATTTGTAATCAGTAAGAATCAGTGTTAAATACAGAAACCTAGTCTATGTTTACCGTCAACCTGAGTTTAAAAGTAAGGTAAATTGGGAATTTTGCATACTTTTACACAATTGTTAACTTTTGTAATGACTAATTGTAGGATTTGTTTTCCAGTACCTTACCCCAGTGAGATGTAACACCGTGACTCCTCCTTTAAATACCCCATTTTGTAGCTGTAGGGATGAGAGGAATGGAGCTGTGATTGAAATCCATTCTGTGGATGGATAGGCAATAGGTTATGTTTACATTTTCAAACCTCTTCAGAGGTTGCCTCCAATTTGCAGTCCCTTGAAGTCTTCCACCATTATTGGCAGTACCCATGTCTCTTGGAGGAGATACCCACAGCCTTGGGTCCTCTACTTGGCCTTTCTGTCTGTGCAGCCCATCCGCCACCGTTCCTACTAGATTATAAATGTGGAGCTGTTTGTTAATTGTCTGCCTCTGGGAAGATCATACAGGTAAGAATCCACAGGCCTCACTGGGGTTTGGACATGGAAATCATAAGATTAATCTTGTCTGCATCGTAAAACGATGTTCATAAGATTGTACCAAGATTCCAATTTGTTCTGAATTCTGTTAAAAAGGAGACAGCAGATGATATTTAATTGGGGCAACAGGAGCATCTGCACAGAGATAGTAGGAACTGCAGATGCTGGAGAATCCGAGACAACAAGGTGCAGGGCTGGATGAACACAGCAGGCCAAGCAGCATCATAGGAGCAGAGAGCATCTGCACGTTGGCTAGAGAGCTGGTGAGAGTCCTGCTTTGCCTGTTTTAGGAAGACCTGCTGAACTAAGTGCTTGTGAAGATTGGGAGTGAAATTACTGGAGAATGAGAAGGGAAATAAATGAAATTTACAAAATTCTTAAAGACAGAGTAATTGCAGAAAGGATTTTTCCTCTGGCATGGGGGAGGAGTTGGTGTCTAGAACCAGGCAATGCAGTCTCCGAATAAAGGACGCACTATTTAGGAAAAAAATAAGAAGGAAGTCTTGCAGTCAGTGTATTGTGATTAATTGGAATGTTCTACCTCAGAGGGCTGTGGAGGGTCAGTCATTGAGAATGTTAAAGATAGTGATTGATAGAATTCTTCATATTAATGACATCAAAGGATAGTGTAAGAAAATGGCATTGAGATAGATAATGCATGGCCTAGAATGGCAGAGCAGACTTGAAAAGCTAAATGGCCTATTCCTGTTCCTGCATTCCTATGAAATGCATGGACCGAGCAAACTACCCTGAGAAACTACAGCAGGTGATGAGTAGTGTTTGTTGTTACTAACCCAGACCTGACTGTCAGAAGTCACATGTATATGTGGATGATGGAATGTGGTTGAACACCCCACAGTGCACATCAAATATAAATGTGATCAAGTGAGATCCCACAGATTTATCAGCAATTCCTTTCAGATGTTAATGTAATAGTGGATGGTCAAATGTTATTACATTTCTCAAGGGATTACTATTCTTTAATTTTGCTGATCTGGCCTTGAAACTCACTCTCAGGAGTCAATCTGTTATGAACTGCCTCAACAATTAGTCCTATTCCAGTTGATTACTCTCCTTTCAGACAGTTGATGAGCAGTGGAGGACTTTCAAAGCAATTTTTCAAAGTGCTCAGCAAAAGTATATTCCAATGAAAAGGAAGGACTGTAAGAAAAGGGGTAATCTGCCATGGGTGTCTAAAGAAATAAGGGAGGCTATCAAATTGAAAGAGAAGGCATACAAAGTGGCCAAAAACAGCATGAAACTAGAAGATTGGGAAAACTTTAAAGGTCAACAGAAAGCCACAAAAAGAGCTATAAAGAAAAGTAAGATAGAACATGAGAAAAAACTAGCACAGAATATAAAGACAGATAGCAAAAGTTTCTATAAATATATAAAACGAAAAAGAGTGGCTAAAGTAAGCGTTGGCCCTTTAGAGGATGAGAAGGGGAATTTAGTTACGGGATATGATGAAATGGCCGAGGCATTGAACAGGTGTTTTGTATCGGTCTTCACAGTGGAGGACACTAATAACATGCCAGTAATTGACAAAGAGACGAAGGTAGGTGAGGACCTGGAAACAATCGTTATTACGGAAGAGGTAGTGTTGGGCAAGCTAATGGAGCTAAGGATTGATAAGTCTCCTGGCCCTGATGGAATGCATCCCAGGGTACTAAAAGAGATGGTGGGAGAAATAGCAGGTGCACTGGCGGTAATTTTCCAAAATTCGCTGGACTCTGGGGCAGTCCCAGCAGATTGGAAAACAGCAAATGTGATGCCACTGTTTAAAAAGGGAAGTAGACAAAAGATGGGGAATTATAGACCGGTTAGCCTCTGTAGTGGGGAAGATGCTCGAGTCTATTATTAAGGAAGAAATAGCAAGGCATCTTAATAGAAATTGTCCCATTGGGCAGACGCAGCATGGGTTCATGAAGGGCAGGTCATGCTTGACAAATCTTTTGGAATTCTATGAAGACATTACGAGCAAGGTGGACAGTGGGGACCCAGTGGATGTCTTGTACCTAGATTTCCAAAAGGCCTTCAACAAGGTGCCGCACAAGAGGCTACTGCATAAGATAAGGATGCATGGCATTCAGGGTAAAGTATTAGCATGGATAGAGGATTGGTTG